GCAGAGGGGAAAAAAATGTCTGACTAAATTCAGTCTATTTCATTATCATGAGTCGGTCTGATATATCTACGAGAGAAAACCCCCAAAAATAGTACAGTAACAGAGTGAAAATGTCATGTTCAAGTGTATGGTAATCTTCAACAGATGTATATATCTATCATTGCCTAAAGCAATAAACTATAGCTGGGATTTTTTTTTTACAGAATTGATAAAGATTATCCAACTTTATAAAATATTAATGGAAATTGGTCTTAAGGTTAAGGTCAAATATGTATTTGAAAAACCCTTGGGAAAGAATGTTACCCAAAGTGACAACTGCTACTGCTAAACCCTCAGAGGGGACTTAAGGAAAAGAGATGAAGCAACAAACATAAGCAAAATGTTACACTGGGGTCTTAAGGAGCACCGCAGGGAGAGTCTGCTTTAAAACTCTCACATCAACTCTGTTCAGAGCATCTGCAAATCCCCCTGTGGTTTAGAAAACCTGCTGCTGTTCACTGTTCTTCAAGACTCTCTTATATCAAACAGAAAGTTGCCTTCCATTTGATCTCATCAACCTCAGAGGGAGGGTGTACCATATGTGCTCTAGTTTGTTAAATAAATGGTCTCTGGTGAATTATTGGAATCCTGCTGTTTTAGCACATTATTTATTGATGTGCAGGTAATGCAGCTAAAAAAGGCACAACAACGTGTTAACCCTGGGGAGGTACAACAAAGTTCATGTTCTGGAAGCCAAAATTAAATATGTCTTTGAAAAAGTCATTACTACTGATGAATGCCTGAAGAAGTTTGCTTGCTTCAAAGTACGTCTTCTTAATAAAACTTCCTGACTGACTGGTAAGAGAGTCCTTTTGTTATTAGTAACCAAAAAACCTTTGTTACTATAATAACTACTGTAACTTCAATCTGAAGACCAGAGATTTTATATTTCTTGTAGAAATGTAATTCTAAATCTCTCTCTCCCCCTATATATATGTATATATATATATATATATATAGATAGACAGATAGATAGACAGATAGATAGATAGATAGATAGATAGATAGATAGATAGATAGATAGATAGATAGATAGATAGATAGATAGATAGATAGATAGATAGATAGATAGATAGATAGATAGATAGATAGATAGATAGATAGATAGATAGATAGATAGATAGATAGATAGATTAAGGTTCAGAGTTGCTGAGACATGTACTAGTTGGGAAAAATCAAGATGCATCATGAACAGCTGTTAGTTTTCTATTTCTTTTTTGGTTTTTGTTTACAGGGTTTCTATGAAAACAAACTCAAATCCCTGAGTGGTAATTACCAGAAAGTGCTTTGTTGTCAGAGAACAGGAGTGCTGCTTCAATTTTTAAGCACAGTTTAAATGGAAATGTGTGTAATTACAATCCATCTGTACTATACAAGTATGTAAATATTGCAATTATTCCCTCAGTTTTCTCCTTTCCATCCACAAAATTATTTGCTACCACAACATCATGACTGAAAAAATGTATGCTTAAGCAACATGTCAAGCAAGCTATTTCTCTATTTTTATTTCAGTGTGTTGTTTTTTTTTTTTTTTAACAAAGCTAGGACTTAAAAGTAACCTCTTTTATATAAATACTCACTCTATGTAGGTTTATCAGTAAAATCTGGTCATTCACTCAGTGGGCCAACACATTTTAAATTCAAGGTTGTAATGTAGTACTATGATAAAATACAATTTTTAGTGATGAACTAGTCAATTTTAAGATGCACAGCAATGCATACATGGATATCCCCCCTAGGCAAAATTACATATAACATATAAGAACTTATAAGGTCACTGTGTATATAGAATTTGTGACTTTTAGGCAAAACAAATTTTGAACTACATTGTTATTGTATTAACTCGCTAACATTATGGTGGCAATACTGTGTGTGTGACAAAAACAGTTGGTGGCATGATGGAGAAGCCTTGAATAAGCAAGTTGCAAGCACTCTGAAATCAGACATCTTGGTATAATAAAACTACTTGGAAAGCTCAGACTAATCAAAAAGGAATATCTGATGATAAGCAAACTGTTAAACTTATAAATAATCTGTGTACTGGGAAAAAAAACATTTTATATTTACAATAGTCATCTGTCTTAAACTTCAATAAATACAACAAGCATGATTGGTCAGCTAAGAATTACAAAAATGCGCTGTCAGCATTCTCAGAAAGAGAAATTAATCACTACAGGTAGTGATTTTATTGGCTCTGGTGGTAGAGAACACCAGGTGTTACATATCTCAAAAGACCTTGCTGCAACATAAGCTTCCATAGCAAATTCCCCTCTTCAAAAAGGAGCCATGCTCGCACTCCTGAGAAGAATTAAAGCCCAGCTAAAACAGTTGTTGAGTAAATCTAGCCATGAAATATGGCAACTCAGTTATCAGACACAGACATTTAAGGAGGCTGTTACATAGCAATTCAGAAAATAAGATGTTTCATATTATTGATGGATTTATGATACTTTGAAACAATTCAATTACTTTAGATGTTCAGTTTATACACATGTTGCACATTTTATTAACAGGTTAATAAATTATTATATACTACAATATAGCACTTGGTATAACTCCCAATAAACTCTTTTACTAAAGTCAAACACATTGGTTATATATGACAGGCTTAGAACAGTACTCCCCTATGAGAAAGTAATTTTTAGTGAGCTGTTTTTTTAAATCAAACAATCTTACAGATTTTTGTTGAAGCAAAGTCCAGCTTGCAAAATCACCGCAGTTCACTCACACTGGCACTAGAATAAAGCTATTATTTGCCAAAACCAAAACAATTCCACAGCTGTCTAGTTTGGTTTAAAAGATTGAATGGGACTAAATCCAAGTAAATTCAATTTGGGGAGATTTACAGACTATTTACTTTTTAGGTTATATTTTCCTTTTAATATCAACACTATTAATCAGTGCCACATTGTGGTAATCTAGTGGGCTTCAAACAGAACCTCGCAGCTGACAGAAACCTCTCAGGGGATTCTGTGATAATGCAGAGTAATAAGTACTAAGAGCTCACTAATCACTTGGCCACATGATAAGACTATTAATCTTGCCGCCCATGCAGCTCAGCTCCAATGGACCACTGCCATTTGCCGGAGAAGGAAATATTAAAAAGCTTTAACATGGCAACTGATCACATAAGCTATAAAACATCCTTACAGCGATCCATAGATGTCAAGAACCCTGTCCATCCATTTCCAGGAGCCCAGAAAAACATCCTCCTTAGTGATGATGGATATGATTCATGATACAATCTCCACTAATACGCATGTGTTCCAACACCTCAGACTGTGCCGTTTTCCTGACAAATCTTTTTTTCTTTTAAAGCACTAATCAACATAACTCATTTGGCCACATGATCAGGTGAATCTCTCAGGCTCTGGAAGCCAGCAGAATGTGATATACAGTCATCTGATACCTTCATCCATGCATGTAACATGTCATTATTCTGCCCGTGTCAACCAGATTGTGTGAACCTTTGCTGTGAGGAATCTTTAATAATGGAGCATGCCACCAACCCAACAGTAAGAGGGTTTTCATAAAGCACTTGGACCAAAAACTAATAACAGCTATTTAGCTGCCCTTTCTTTTCTCTGTTAAACTTTGATAAAACCAAGGAACGTCCCTTAAAGTACACGTACGGGTCATCATTATATTTCACAATGCCTCATACATATTATGACGTCAATACAAAACAGCATGTACTTACCTCTAATTCAATAATTGTCCCTAGGCTTATATTTGGTCAATTTGCAGCTAATTTAGTGAGACTGAAAAAAAGAATAAAAATAGCTAAATTTTGGTTTCATTTCTACCACTTAATTAAATACCTACCCATTTGCAGAATACATTAAACAAGGTTGTAATTATTGTTTTTTTGTAAGTGTTCAATGCTCGGGGACACTTTCACTTTACTTCCAAGTCTTTTACAGTCTCTCATAAATTTTCAGCTGGGATTCTGATGTGTTTCTAATTTACTGTCAACCCAGACCAGCTTCCCTGTCCAGGTTTGAGAAAACATGATGTCCCTACCACTGTAGTACACTATTTGGATAACCAGATAAGTATGACATGAGTTTTCTGCCAAACATATTTTTCATATCAACGCATAAAAGTTAAAATTTGGCCCCAGTTAACCATAGCAGTTTCAGCCATATCTTTGCTTGATTGCATTTATAATTTGATCAAATAGGACTTGTTGTTTCTTTCCACAGCTGTTTTTTTTTTTTACTAGTGGATCACAAAACTAATGTTATGTTAATAGATTGGTCCATTTTAACTAGAGCCAACCCAGACTTATCATGACCCTCTTCGATAAGCCATCACTTTGAGCCATGTCTTGAAACCTTTGGAGTAGTGGAAAAAAAAATTGAAGCCTACAAAAAATGGGTACATCTAAATTATTTAGTAACGCACAACTTGAAAAAATGTACATTATTTAAGTGACCTTTGAGAACTATTGCTGGTATTAGATTTTAATAAAGGGCACTACAGCTCAGCCTTCTTGGGAAGGTGCAAGATAACCCCTATTCTACATTATAACATTATGTTTCTACACCTTTAGAAATGTATTCATCTAGAGTCCCATAGCTCACATTTTGTCTGCAGTGCCAGTAAATTTTCACTAGGAATGACTGCATTTATTCCAAAGCATAAATGTTTTAAAAGGATGTCTCCCATCTATCTTTTTCTCCTTTTTATTAATCAAATAAAAAGCTAGAGGGTTTCAAATGTAAAAAAGTAGCTCTGGGTTCATCTTTTGGTGCAAAGCCTGTGATTAAGAAAAAAATGTCAAGTTGTATAAATTACAATATTTACTGCAGTTTAAAAACTCTGAAAGGCAGCGAACATTTTTAAATTCGACTTTATAAACATTGAGGGGAACTAAAAGGAGGCCTGTAAAATATCTAATAAAGGTGTTATTTAAAGATACACTTAAAGTGCCTCTTCATCACTTTGGCATAACTCACCTGTAAATTTTGTATCTAGTGGAGAAGCCCTGGCGGTTCTTTTCCACAAAGTCGATGTACTCTGGGGAGTGGTGGAAGGGCCCCTTATCTGAAAGCAGCCAGTCGAGAGGTCCCCCGGGTTTGTCATTAGGGAGGCTGGCTGGAGCAGCTGTTGCTGTCGCACAGGATCGTAAACACACCCAGCAATGAAGGCTGAGGCTGATGATGCCCCATAGAGCCATCAGCGATGGAGGGCGTAAGGGAGGGAAGGAAGGATGGAGGCCGGTGGTGATGGGGGACGTTCAGCAGACAAATACACCCGTCATTAGCTTGGTCCTCCACTGGGATATCCGAGGGACCTGCATCACCTCAATGCCCCCCAAACGTCTAAAAAAGATATAAACACATAGTTACGGAGAGAAGCAACACAGCAGCCCCAAAAAACACCATAAAACTGATAAAACAGAAGAACTATATTTTTAAAAAGCATATTATTGCATACAGAGATTTAGCAATACACTGACTTTAAAGTAAGTGCTACAGGAGCCCCTCAATGCCCAAACTGCACAGGTCATAAAGCCGATGGAGTGCATTTACAGAATTTAATTTTGGTTATGAATAGGGGTGTGGGAAATAATCGTTTTGGCGATATATCGTGATATTCGGCTGCCCAATATAATATCGATCTTTCACTTCTTAGTATCGATTTTCCAAAAAAAAATGGTTACATAAAACATTGATGGGAAAATGGGCTACCTCTGCACCACCACTCTGGCAGAAAGTTCTGTGGAGCCCTTTAACTGTGTGTGCAGCACCAAATCTGTATTTGAGGCAGTCACAGTGGAAGAAAACCCCAAACAACATGGATAATAATACCTAATCAATATTTTCTGATGAAAATATACAGCACTTGCTGTTTTATCGCATCATTTGATTTTGATAGCTGGGGAAAATATGGCAATATATAGTGATACTGCAATATCGTGATAATATCGTATCGTGACCCAAGTATCGCAACATGTATCGAATCGCAACACTCATGCCAATACTCACCTCTAGTTATGAACAGGATATATTCTCTTGTACTATTATATATATGACATGCCCTGCTCTCCTTTAAACCTTGATTACAGGTTTCCTTTCTATTAACTCATTTGCAGACTGCCATGCCATTTTCTCTTTATTTTTATAGTGTTTCACCTATATTTACTAACAAGTGTACACACAAGACCTAGACCCATTTAATGACAATATTTGATAAGCTGCATAACCCAACCCTGGATCATGGAAAGATCTGGAATGAGAGGAGTTGGGTTTTTTTTGTTTTTGTTTTTTCCGGAACTAAGACTGAGTGACCTTCCTATACCTGACACTCCCACACGTCTCTGTTGTTTTTGACACTTTGCTTTTTGGAAAGTCACCGGGTGAAAATTAAAGGAGCACACCTAACCCTTTTGTTCATGATTTTTTAAGTGCAGTTCCACAAAAACAAAAAAAAAACAAATAGAGCAACAGATCCTGAAACAACAAAACTCATACAAAGCAATTTAGCCCATATATGAACAAATGCAGTGTTTTTTGAAAGGGGAATTGAAGGTTGCCAGGGAGCACTTGAGGCAAGCAGAACCTTGTAGTGAAAGAAAAAACTATATCATACATTTGTTTTTATTATTTTCTATCATTATTATAAAATAACATAATTGTAATATTTCACACTGAGATGGAAAAAGTAGGGTATTTGTAATTAAACTTTGAAGTCCTTTCCCTGTCTTTGAAAATATCCCTCTTTACTCACCAGGGCACTGATATTCCTTATTTCTAAAGTTGCACATGTTGCACAGCCTTTCTGGCTGTGCAACATGTAAAGCTACTTCAAACAAGAAACTAGAGCACATCTACCATTCGATAATGACACCTCAAAAAATCCTGACTACGTGTCCGAGGGACAAAAACCCGCCCAGACCTCGAGCAGGTAGTGCACAGAAAAAAAGCACCTGTGATTGGTCCGTGGTATGCCTTTCCGGTGAGGAACAACTACCATGGAAACCTACGCGCCTTTCTTTGTCTTTTTACCAAATCCATTAACAGAATCTTTTCCTCTTCGATGTCTAGCAACTCTAGATCCATCCCTGTGACCGTGATATCTTGCAGACACGCCATTGTTGTTTTGGAACATAAACACTCCTGCCAGCACCGCTGAAGTTCTCGTGACCATCTGCCAAAGTTCTTGTGAGTTCTCAAATAGGCTCCCCTTTGCGCTTTGGCTGGAAACTGCTGTGCTTCCCTATAAATTCCAGACTGACGGGCAGAAGCATACTAGCAAAAATGGTATGGAGCAGGGGCGTGAGGCTGGCTGTTTGATGCTGATTAGCAAACATGCAAGGAGGTTTTCCTCATGAGTTGAGAAGGAAAAATGATCAATCAGTCAGAACAGATCTAATGTTGAACTCTGTCTGTGGTTTCTGGTGTTAATTTTTTCAGAGCAGCTTCGAAACAGCTATTTTCACTCATTGAGGTATTGTGTTATATGTGTTTCAACATTTTTTAATGCAATACATGATTTTTGGATTTAATTAGCACTATTGAGCCTCCCCTGTTTCAGACAGCAGTAGCCATCACTGCGAACAAACACTTTTGAAATGTAAGCTCTCCTCCCAGATTATAACCCCATCAAAGCCAGAAAACATTTTTATGTAAACTGGAAGTGATTTGGTTCATGCTTCATGGTTGGTGCTTTAAAAGTAACTCAATCCCCACATTGTTTGTGACTTAAAAAAAAACAGAGTGTCTGTATATTTTCACACAATAATTCAGATGTGGTGAAAGTAATGATGTATACACAATTAATTATAATTTAATTTTGTACCATACTCAACATGGACCAAAAAATGTTTAACTCCTGCTTTAATGAAAGAAAAATCCACAATGGTCACCAAAATAACTTTAATCTGGCAAAAGTAAAAAAAAAAAAAAAAAAAGGAAAAAAAGAAAAGAAATCAAAATGAATAAATTAAAGCAAGACATTTCTTGTGAAGCACAGAAAGATAGAACATAAAATGAACTAATGAATTAGGACAATACAGTAATAATGGTACCCATAGAAAAGACCAAAGGGGAAATGTTAAAGCAAGGTGTGTTCATTAATTAGCATCACAGGTGTCTACAATCTAGTAATCAGTCAGTGGGCATTTTAGGGCACTACCTAGAGCAGACCCAAGAGGAAAGTTCATAACAAATCAAATAGATGGATAAAATAGAAATAAATGAGCCCAGAAAAACCTCTAGGAAGATTAAAGCTTCAACCTTTAAATCTTCAAGCTTAAGGAACATCAGCGTCAAATTACATCATCCATTGTAGTTTTATCCAAATGGACTTAATGGTAGGAAACCATTGTTGAAAACAAAAAATCTTAAAATAGCCATACTGGAATTTTTGCCAAATGTTGACATGTCACAACACTTCTAGTATCTTTTCCTATGGACAGACGAGACAAAAATAAACCTTTTGCCAAGGCATATCAGCTCTAAGTTAGCAGGTGAAAGAAGGTTCTGGAGAAATGTACTGTGTCGTCACAGGTCTTGCAACAGGATAATGACTCAAAATACACAGCTAAAAACTCTCATAAAATACGAAGAGGTAAACACTGGACTAGTTTGAAGGGAGTTTCTATGAACCCGGACCTAAATACTATTGAACATCTTTCGAGGGAGCTGAAACATGTTGTCTGGATAAGGCACCCTTCAAATCTGAGATAAATAGATCAGTTTTCTCATAAAGAGTGGGCCAAAATACCTGGCGAGAGGAGCAGAAGTGTCATTGACAGTTACAGGAATAATATGGTCACTGCAATTCCCTCAAAGGCTGTCCAACAAAAGACTAAATTTAGGGGTATTGTCATTTTGGCTCAGGCCTATTTTTTTGAGTTAAAGTCTGTTGTAGCATGTTTCAGAAGAAGTTCATTATCCAAGATGTTGTATTAACTATCACTTTTGTTAAATTCAAATTATTTTTGTGACTTTTTAGTTTTTTGGGGGGTTTTTTTGCTATACACGGGGTACCAACAATATTGTCCGACTTCCTAGTTATTTTATAAGGTAGTTTGGTTCTTGACCTGTTAAGTCCAGGGTGCTTTAGAAGTAATTCCTGTCTTAAAATAATGATCAAAAAGACATCGAAATAATCTCAAGTGAACTCTCTACAATGTCCAATATATTTCCCTGTGTCTAATGTATTTTTTTTTCTTAAACTGGTAAGTAAAAAATATATTATATACAGCAGATCTTAATAAAAGTGTTCATTTAGTGTATTTTATATTTTTACATCTCTCTACTGCTTTACAAGTTCTACATTTTATTCATTGCAAAGATTTGTGTTTTACAAGAGTTTTGTAATCACTTTGTGATCCATGACCTATGTTTTCTGTTACTATTCTTGCAATATTATTTGGCAGTGTTTCCTACTTTAAAAAATATTATAATCCAAGAATATTTAAAAACCATATCTTCATAATTTTCCATCATTTCTCTTTACAAATCCTTGTATAGCTTTGATCCCCTTCATTGAGTCTTGTTCTAGTTTCCTGTTGCATATAACTATATGGTTCCTTTATTCATTCTACAATCATGGATCACTAAAACAGGGAAATGATCAGTGATATGAATTATTAACAGCCCATGTCTTAAACTGAATTTCAGTAGATCAGTTCAGACTGTGGTCCAGAGCTCATGCTAGTCCTCATCTCCATTGCTCTCTATTGCTGCCAGTCAACTAAGGAGTGTGGCGTTCCAATGGTTTTGAGTCCCATTACAGTATTCTGATGACAATCTGTCAAGTTAACTCAGCCATGTGACCGCTTGTGGGGATAGCACACTTGAAAAATCACCATACTCAGACAACACAGTTGACAGCATGAGAGGAATGCATAACAGCTGGTGGATCGCAAGAGCAACTACAGGTTAAAAATGTTACATCACTGTTCATTATCTGGTATGCACTGACAGAGGCAGGCGCAGGGATTAATTATTGGAACATAACTGTGTAGGAGAATGTTGATGTAGTGGTTTTAATTAGATTAGATCACCTAGCAATTTGAAAATTAATTTTAGTCTGACGTTATTCCTTAAATGCAGCGTCAGGGAGATCAGAATTTGTATGCATACAGTTAAACATTAAATATTTGTCCAATATGCACACTGAAAAATAACACAACTAATCTTAAAAAAAAAAAAAATGCTAAATCCATTTAGTCATGGAGGCCTTCAATCATTTTCACTTATTGTCTGTAGGTATATTGCATCCCCACACAGAATCTATAATTAATTTGTAAGCTTAGTTTTAGCTGTTGATGTATTTCATAGAATGTGCTTAATTGTCCAACCATTATTTT